GGACGTGGGTGACAGTATACCCTTAACTTATAGATCGATTTTGACCTATTTAGAAGCTGATTCAAAAAAAAAATTGTGAAATACACTTTCGTAGCCCTTGAAGTCTAATTTATACCGTCCAAAAATCAGATCAATCGAAGTTATGAGTAAAAAATTATAGCTAAAATACTAAGGTAGTGTCAAATTCCTTCCTATCTGAATTCTTTCTAAAATGTGTTTAAACTCTAGGATACTTCCTAACTTCTAATACACCCTATATTACCTTTCACAAGGTTTCTCGATTTTTCGAATTCAATGAAAACCTTATTTTGACCTAAAAATATTTACAAAATTACTTAGCCACACTTTTCAATCCAAACATCTCCAAAACTCAAACTTTATAATTAATTTTTCAACTATGATTCTATGTTTCTACTATCATTTTATTCATTTTAGGAGAACTCTTAAGATTATATTATCCTTATTTAAAATTTTAATATGGAATCATACAGTTTCAGTACCTCACCTTCACCATACCTAACATCATTTTCGTAGTCAATCATGTCTGCTAGTATATGCACCAACCTACCGATGTTCATTTCTCAGCTGTAAAATGCATCCTTCGCTTTATACAGAATCAAGCTCTTTTGGTATTCTTCTTGCTCTTGTTCTTTAATCTTGTCTACTTATTTGAATGCAGATTGGGCAAGGGATCCTAATGACAAACGATCAACCACTGGTTTCACTCTTTTCCTTGGTTCTACTTCTATACATTGGGGATCCAAGAAATAATCCACCATTGCCCAATCATCCACTGAGGCTGAATACAAAAATCTTGTCTCCACAACTGCCAAATTATATTGGTTTCGCACCTTATTGTGTGATCTACGAGTCTTTTTACCGAATCCTCCAATTTTATGGTGCGACAATGTGTCTGCATTAGCTCTCTCTTCAAATTTGGTCTTCCATGCTCACACTAAATACATCGAAATCGACTTTCACTTTATTTGAGAAAAAGTCTCTCACAAAGAGCTTCAATTTCATTACCTTTACTGAAGACCAGACAACAAAAATATTCACTAAAGGCCTTTCTGTAGCCAAATTTAGTCTCGTGGCAAAGTGATGGTATGCTCCCCCTTCCCTCCCTCCCCCCCCCCCCCCACCTAATCAGTTTGAAAGGGGTTGTTAAGCTATGTCATGCTCAAGCTAGTGCTCAATCCATTCATTTACAACCTACCTCACTCAACTAACACTACTAATTACTGTAACAATAGATTGTTAGTTAGTTAGAACTAACCCATGCCACTTGCAATGTAATGTCTATATATACACTAACGCTATTGGAACATAAATTAGAGACATAATTTGTGGACTTAACAATTGAATTGATAGTGTTGGGACCCAATGATAATTTAATGTTGGGACTCACTGATAATCTAATGGCCTAAATCATTAATTCCTCAAATTATGTCATTAAATTATGTCTCAATAGCATTGCTCCTATAAATAATAAAGTGTAATTGTTGATGATTTAAGCAATGAGAATAGATTCTGCAATCTTCATTCTTTTTCTTTCTCCCTCTTTCTCTGTCACTAAGCTCGGATAAAAGAGAAGAATTTTGTTAGGTAATTGCACCTCATCAGACCAAATATGAGCATGAATCCCAAAAATATTGGAACAAGATTTTGTCAAGTATATGATTTTTTCCCAATTAGAACAAAGTCAGTATTGAACAAATTTTCAAAACAATAAGCCTACTTTGAATAAAATATGTTAGAATTTGACCAATTTTTTGGAAATTTTGTTTACAAATGAATCAATTAAATTATTATTTTTTATTATTAGAAGAAGACACAAAAAATATGCCAATTCAATAATTTTTTGCCCATTTCCTCTTGGAATAAATTCTCATCCCGAGTCGAGGGAATAGCCTCCTGGCCAGCATAGATCACATTTCATAAAAGAAATAAAAAGAACAGAAAATAATTCCGCCCCCTTTTTTTTTGGTCGGAAATTCCGCGTACTTGTCTCGTTCTAGAAACTTAAGTTTGAATCTGACCAACAGAAAGTAGCCAACAACGGCTGGCGCTTCCAAGTTCCAGCCTACCAAAGTTGCAGGCTTCCAGAAGCACCTGAGTTCCAATTTTGCCCCTAATGTGTCTCTTTTTTCCTTTTTATGCTGTGAGAAAAAAAAAAAAAAAAAAAAGAAGAGAGACCAATGGTAATAAGTAGTAACTCCTGATTTTGACCATGAGGATATTCATTACGAAATGTTTGATTTAAATTATAACTATTAACTCAAAAAAATAGCTATATATCACAGTATCATCAAAATTAAGTAACAATCGTGTTACTCTCGTGAATTGAACATGAGAGTTAAGAACGATTCTGATAATGCACAAAATAGTCTCGTGTAAGATCAACAGCCGAGTGTATAACATGGTGTAATTAATGGACAATTAATAAAACAATTAATGACAGTAATGTAAATATTAAGTCAACATACAAATATATAGTAGTTTAGTCCACGTAACTTACTGTAATTTGAAAAACGGCAACGGTGACGGGGGGTCTTTATTGATGAAATAAGGTGAATGGAAGAGAGAGCGATGATTAGCTCCGGGAGAAGTACAATTGTTAGGAGAGAGAAAAGTTTATGTGTGTATATAGAGGTGCAGAGATAGAGCTCAATGTGTGAAGAGGTATCTCTCCCATATAAAGAAGGCTTATAATTTATAAGCGTGCAGTCTTGGTTGAGGCGGTGACGTGCGGGTAAAGACACTACTCCTTCAGGGAGGACGTATACAATAGGTAAATATAATTAAAATTGTCTAAATCTTTGAGAGTAGGTATTGCGATAATCTCTCTTCCTCGTGCTCTTATCTTCCTGGGCTCTTTAAATTTTGAACTGGATAGAATTGATGAACTGAGATCTACCTATCTTTCTAGCAGATCTGGGCTTGCTTGATTTACTAAGTTTGACCCAATTAAATTTGAGCTCTTCAAATTTTAAACGAGTATGATTTGTCACTAGACCAACAACTCGGATAGATGTAACGTGTGTCGTTAGTTTGCTCCAGCCAATACCCTCGACATCTCTTGGGTTAAACGAGAATGGCACTTTTTTTTTCCTAATTACACTTTATACCTCAATTCTTACTTCAGCCATCAACGTTTTTGTATCACACTATCATCTTTTAAGTTTGACGCCTATTCCAGTAAGTCCAATTGGCGATTGTAGTTCCAAACGAAAAAAATTCAATGAAAGAGGCGCACAGCACGTGATGTTGAAGTCGGAGCATCCGTTTTTTGAACCAGATAATATAACCACATTAATTACTCAGCACATAGATTATGATGAGTTAATTCGGTTTTTGAAAAGAAATACCCTTCATTGACATTTAATTTAAGGTTTTTTTTCCGTACTTTGTACTCCAAAAAATATTTTGATTCCTATTTTACACCCTTTAAAATGATTTTTTTCACACTTCACCCCGAATGTTATAGATTGATGCCAATGTAGCTATCAGATTAACATTCATTTTACATTTCGTTAAAAATTGATACACTTACACCCACGAATATAAACTCACAATTCATATCATTGGGTAACATGCACATTAAATTTTATTGAAATTTAAAACAAATGTTAGTCTGAGAATCGGATTGACACTAATTTATGATATTCGGGGTTTAATGTGGAAAAATTTATCTTTCAAAATGTAAAGTGAAAATTGAGATATTTTTTAAAGCGTAAAATGCAAAAATCCCTTAATTCAATTGTCTCTGACTTTTTATTTCCTACCAGTACCTTCAACTTTGATGCCACGATTTCGTAGGTATAATTTATATAACAAAGTACAATAATATTCAAATCTCAAAAGATAAAAAAAATAATTTTTGCTATTCGCGGTTGAAATATCTTTTAATTTTACTTTAAAGTTAATCTGACGGCTAATATTAATACTCTAAATTTAATATGAAAAATAAGGTCATAAGAGTGTGTTTTAAGTGATTTTTTAAAAATACTTTTAATACTTATAATTTCTCATAAATATTTTTTTTTACAAAAAATAGTGTTTAGAATTACCCCAGCATCACCCCTATCACCCCACCACCACCACTAATGTCACCACCACCAATGTTATCATTACCGACGCTACCATCGCTTACTCCTATTAAAATCGGTGTTTAAATTTTTTTTTCTCTTCTCTATATTTGTGATTTGATTTTTAATGTGAATACAAATATATTTATTGTTGACCATTTTTTTTTATTATTATGTACCTTCACACACAAACAATAACTAGTAGTTCATTATTGCAACTTTGACTCCTTATCACTTTTCTAACCTAGAATAAACAAGGAAAAGTCGGTGCAAAAATCAAATAAAAAAAAAGTATACACTAGGCCCGTCAATACATGAGAGGTCGTGTCGAGTTTTATTGGTTCGTATCAAAAAATATTTTATCTATACTCGTTTTATTCTTTAATTTGTATCTAATGAGTCGTGGTATATCGATTTTATATCTTATATGACTAATATATAAAACAAGTCATGTCGTATATTTTTTTTTATTAACTTTATTTGTACCTGATTCGTTTATTAATTTCGTTATATTAAATCTACCCATTTAAAAAATAAGTGGCTTAAACGAGACTTAAACTTAATTTTATATTATGTTGACCATTTTGAGACATCTAATACATACACTTATAATTGCCACATCAAATGAAAAAAAAGGTACATGCGTTTGCAATTTTCTCACAATTCAAGGGTTGTTTTATTACACCAATCCTGTTCAGGAGTCCTCATACTGTTTATCAGTAGTATGAAGTCTTTGTTCAGTACAGTTTTTTTTTTTTTTTTTTTTTTTTTTGACGGAACATGTACAGAAGAAACCACACAACAACAATCCACGCGGATTCAGTACAGTTCGAAAAAATAATGGAAGTCTTCGTTCAGTGGGTCCCATTTTATAACCAACGACTCATCAGATTCATAACTATACACCCGCCAGATGACCAGACCTCTCCTTCCATACCTAAACCCCTTCGTTGACTTTGTCATAGATTGATGAAGATATATGCACTGATATACATAATCAGACATATATGTCTGTTCTGTATATTTATTCATGGCTTCAGAGGAGTTGCAGAGGAATTTGGAAACTGTTGAAATGGAGGATAGAAGATCAGAGATGGGTTCAGATAAACACAAGAACAGAGCGAAGAAGAATGAGATGATGAAGAAGAAGAAGAAGAAGACTCCTTATTTGCCAAGATTTGGGTGTTTCAAATCTAAAGATGATTACCCAACAATTGACGAGTCAAAGGGTGGTCGGAGTTTTGATATGGAGGCCACTACCACCGGAAATGATCGCTCTCCGACCCACCTCGTTATAATGGTTAATGGCATCATTGGCAGGTCAGTCTAACTGTCTATTTTCTGATTAAAAGGTTGAGATATCCATTGACTGGTAATCATTGTTATCAAAATCCCGATCCGGATCCTAGGATCTAAAATCATGCTTAAAGTTGTTTTTAGACAGTTGTTTTGGGAAATGACAATGGTTTGTGTGGATTGGAGCATATTAGACCCTTAAGCTACGCATACATTGTTAATTGCCTTGTTGCTTGGTCTCGTTTCATCCTCTTCCCTTATGAAAAATTATCTAAAATTACGAATACAATTTAGGAAGGGGTAGGTAGGGACTGTCGTTGCTTTCGTAGCGCTTGTTTCTATCTATGTATAGTGCTCCTGATATCAAATGTGGCAGTCGAATATTTGAAATTATGAAGAACATAATGGCAATTTGTTCTTGCTAAATGATCCTGTTATTATCTTGGGGATTTTTAGTTAAAAAAATCTATTTGTATTGAATTATTCGTTTCAAATTGATAGGAAAAAAATTGGAGCTTAGTTTTATGTTATAGGGTTTAGGTGGAGACTGGAGAGACCATTGTATCAGGAATTCATTATGCAGGAGAGAGTTGATAGTGCATTGCAGATTGGATATTTTTATATGTTTTGGGAATCTGATGTATGTAAATACATTAGATGGAGTATATGAATTTGAAAAAGGAAAATCGTAGGGGGGCTAATATAGCCAAAATTTCCATTAAAGGTTCTTTACAACTAAGACAGACTAGTACCAACACATGGTTGAAAAAAAGCTCTACATATGTTGCCTAGGTTGTGCTAACCAAAACATCTTTAAACAGCAACAAAATATTCCTCTCGGAATGAAGACAGGGATGGCACAACGTCCCCCCTCCTTCCCTCTTAAACCACAAAAAAGAAGATGCCTCCAAATATTGCACCATTTTCGTTTGTGTTATGTATTTGTTGATAATAAATCCAAAAGTATTTCAATGTTGGCCTTCCAATTTTTAGTTTTTTTAAAGTCGAACAGGAAGACTCATGTTTTTTTTGGGTTAAATAATAGAAAATCACATGTATCCTATTGAGAGGCTCCCATTTTCTATTAACAATTAGAAATATCCCTCCTTTTGGTTCAATTTGATGTTTGTGTATATATAATTTAGTAACACAATTTGTTTGTGATGAATTCTTTAGTCCACAAGAATTGGATAGCCTAACCCCCCCCCCCCCCCTGGGGCCAAAAAAAAAAACTTTCAGGCTTCATCTGTGTCTGGTAGATTTGTCTGTTAAATAAATTATGTTTGGAGGCACCTACTATATGCTGAACAGTCTTCGATAGGACCTAAAGGTTGCTTTCTGTATCTTCAAGAATTTCCAGGATGGTCGTGAAAGCATTTAGTTTGATCAAAGGATTGGAACATTTGTGTGGTTCTACTTGTAATGTCTATGAGGTTGTATATGGTACCATGTGTTCATTATTGTGCATACTAAAGCCACTATATGTTTACATGCATGCAGTGCTCAAAACTGGAGATTTGCTGCAAAACAGTTCGTGAAGGAACATCCGCATGATGTAATCGTCCACTGTGAGTTCTATTATGAGCTCACATTCTTCTTTAGGATAAATTGCTTTTGTTTAACTAGTTTTTCACTGGGTGTAAATTGTCAGACACTTTTAATCTTAGAACCGAGAAACCTATGTCCTTTTGGATACTTTCATAAACTTACGGCATTATCTTCCCCTTACTAATAGGCATCAAAATTTGTTAGAGCTCTTGAAATGTTCTTGACTGTTGGTAACATATGGTGCCGCTAACTAACTTTCTATGTCCAGGCAGTGAATGTAATACGGCATTGTTGACTTTTGATGGTGTTGATGTGATGGGAAATAGATTGGCTGATGAGGTGTGCAATGTTTCCTCTATCAACAGTTACCTGTTTTTCTTCATTTCATGCTTTTTGTGAGAACTAACTTTAGCTAAAGAATGTGGTTTCGAATCCTTTTGAGTTTGAGCATGTGAACTGCTGCTTTTTTTCAGGTGATGTCCGTCATAAAACGCCATCCAGGTCTTCAGAGGATTTCTTTTATAGGTCACTCACTAGGTGGCCTAGTAGCAAGATATGCTATTGCTAAGCTATACAAAAAAGATACAGCAAGGAAAGATTGTCAAGAAAATGGAGAATGTAGACCTGATGAATCGAATCTTCCACATCTGGAAGAGAAGTCAAAGGGCAAAATTGCTGGACTAGAGCCTTTGAACTTCATAACCTCTGCAACACCACACCTTGGTTCAAGGGGGCATAAACAGGTGTTTCATCTATGCTCTGCACACTCATCTTTACTTTCTAAAGATCAATTCCTCTCGTATTTTTTCTGGGGGTGGGGTCGATTTTCTATCATTTTGGGGTGAGAATACTGAAAATCTTTCTGTTGGCTAAAATTTGAAGTATTCTTAACCAAGAGAGAATCCACCTTGCAAGAAACCTAACAATAAAATGTAGTTATCTTTTCGTTAACTCACATTAACACACTTGAGGACTTCCAGTGCAGTCTTAAAAAAATTTAGCGACTAGAGCAAATGATTTTGTTTCACAATAATACCCATGACAGTTATTATTTGGAAATAATTTTCAGACCTCTCATTTTTTTAAATTAGACAAAGTGAGACATTGGTCATACCCACTGCAAAAGAATTCTAGTGGGAGAGCTATTAATTTCAGTAAAGAAACAAATTTTCATGAAAGCTTATAGTTCAAATGATTTTCTTGTACTTTTAAGTACTTCAGTTGACATTGTTGAGGTTATATAGTCCATTTAATCATACAAATAACAGGCCTATTTGGTTCAACATGTGCCATACAGTTTTCTGAATGATGGCTTGAACATCATAGGATGATATTTCTGCTGCTGCAACGTTTTAATCTTGTCCGTTGCTGCAGAATACAATTTCTTAGGAGCTTAACTTTTGGAAACTTAATTCTAATAGTGTTATTTACGAGAGTGTCTGCAAGTGTTGGCGAGTGGCACAAAGAAGGGGGGGGGCACATGCAATACACTCCTGATGTGCTTTTAACATTACCAGCATTGTTTTGAGTTCATATATATTCTATTTTTACGGATTTTATTTTTTATTTTGGAAGATTCCAATGTTACATGGATCTTACACCTTGGAGAAAGTAGCATCTCGCGTATCAGGGTTTCTAGGAAGAACTGGGAAACATTTATTTTTGATGGACAGTGATGGTGGGAAACCTCCTCTCCTGCTACAGATGGTCCATGATTGTGAAGATCTTCAATTTATGTGAGGCCTCATGAACTAGTAAAATGTGAATTCTTTCTGCTTGCAAATGATTTAAACCTTGCCTCACACCCTGGCTGCTGGTCTCTGCAGGTCTGCTTTGCAGTGCTTCAGGCGTCGTGTAGCCTATGCGAATGCAAGTTTTGACCGTATCCTATTACCTCATACGGCTTTGATGCCATCTTTAATGCTTCTTCGAGTAGACATGTTATTTCTAAAAAAAATTACGAGATCAAAGTCTAAGATGCAAATGGAAGTTGTCATACAAAGATAATGCATGAGAACAGGCTTTTGGTCCAATGGTACTCCTTACCTTGTGAAGGCTTTGTCTTCTTGAGGTCAAAGGTTCAAGTCCCCCTCCCCCTCCCCACCACCCCTAAAGGAAAAAGATTATTCAGGCATACTGGACATGTTTTTTTTGTTTTTTTGTGTAAGGTCCCCTTGCCTGCATTGTGAACTTGACAATTCCCTTAGATATCGTGGGATGGAGTTCATCATCGATCCGGCATAGAAATGAACTTCCGAAGGTATTATAAATGCAATATATGGAGTTTTGTGTTATTTCTCCGAATTCCATATGAATTCATTATATTCTAATTTTCAGCATCTGCAACTATCAAGAAACGATAAATACCCCTATATTGTGAACGTGGAGACATCAGAGACTGCTACTCTTCAACAAGAAGTCTCGTTCAAGGCCAAACTGGATGATGGATACAACACTGATGACATGGAAGGTGTGTTTCTCAGTTATTTTGTTGAACTAATTGCTGGAGGTGCTCATTTTTAGGAGCTTTTGAGCTGTTTTTGATACTCATGTTAATTGTGTTGCATTGACCATTGGCATAAATAAAGCTTGACTGAGTTTAAGGTGCAGATCATGCTCTAAAATATGAAGAAAATCGGGGAGATCCACGCCATCCCCTCAAACGAATGATATACACAATTGTAGGATGATTTTATTTTCATTGGAGGTAGCCTGGGATGGCCTGATCTTATTGGCTACTCGTTTACGGGGCTGGCCTATGTTGAATAAGTGCATTCTTGATCTTCCAGACCAAAGTCTGGAAAACTAATTGTTGCTTGAAGATATTGCAGTTGATAAATATTATAGCAGAATTCTTCTGATATGAATTCGTTTCCCTTATGAGCTCTATATGTGCGTTCTAGTTAAGATGATGATCATTTCAGCTCTTCATCTACAAGCCACTTATATTCATTGTCTGAAAAAACTGTAGAGGCGATGATCAGAAGTTTAACAAAATTGAGCTGGGAGCGGGTTGATGTTAAGTTCAGTGGAAGTAGACAGAGATACTTCGCACACAGTACTATTCAGGCAAGTATCTGCTCTTTTGAATCCCATTACAGATGCCATAACTTTTTTCTGTAGCATAATGAAGCTTAATTTAGGTTGCATTTGGTAACGTTTTTTGTTTTTGTATTTTCAAAAAAGTCCGTGGCAAAAATTGAAAAAAAAAAAAACAGAAACACATGATTACCAAATGGGGCTTTAGGTTTCTTCACTATTTGGCTTGTTTCTGCTTTGGCTTTTATATATGCACACTTTGCCCATGCCACGGGGTTTTGTACTTTTTATTTTGTCATAACTTTGAGGACATTTTCATGCTACAATGGAAAATCAAGATGCCAAATACATAGTGGGTGTGTTTGGGTAATGGTGTTGGATAGGGTAGGATTTGTTTTTTTATATCCTATCCCATCCAAGTCAAACTCACTCATTCACTTTAAAACCCTAACCTTTGAATATTTTCAATCTTAACATTTGTTTGGAAAACAAATATATAATTCAGTGGGCCTCATAAATTACACAAATAATTTTATAGTAGTTTATCATTCTACCCTCGACTTTATTTATTCCAATCCAAACCAATCATATTCTATGTTTGTATTGGTGGATTATCCTAATAAAATTATACATTTTTCACATATACATAAAAACATATAAAAATAAAATAATAATTTTGACTGTAAAATTTAAAATATTTGATATTTTATCTTTGATTAGAGTATTTTTAGTCTAAATATAATATTTTGAACTTAAACGGTCTAAATATTAAATACCTACAAACTTCAGAGGGGTCTAAGTATTACGCGCGTACAAACTTTAGAGAGGTCTGTATGTAATATTTCAAATATCAAGGAATTTGAGTGATTTATTGACAAACTTCAGGAGGGTTAGGTGTAATTCTCCCTTATTAAATCCCTTTTTTTTATCAAATATATCAAACTCAGAACCATACATCTGCCTTGATAGTAACCACCAGAACTATACACCTGCATCCCACCATACATCCCACCACCACCAGATCTTGCCGCACCATCTCTCCCACCACCACTCATTGAGCTCTTCTCCCTCTTCAGCTCCTTATACTTTGCCAAATAAACCTTCAACGCAACAGAAACATCATCGCCGCCACCACCACCACTACCACTACCTCCCACCGTCGAAATCGCTTTTCACTTCTATATCCATGGCGATAATCTCTGATTACAAAAAAGATCACAAATCGACGACTAGACCCTCATCATCGTTAACGACAACTAAGTCATTCAACGTTGTTGTTGACCCGTCGAACCCACTAGGGTTTTTTCAAACCTTTTCTTCTTCATTGCCTCTGTGCAGCACGTTCGTCCCAAACCTCGGGACAAGCTTAATTGGTGTGTGTGTAGTTGTGTGAACGGTTGAGTGATAGGAACGGGAGGGCAAATGGATGGTAAACCTGCTGCCTGAGTTTGTAACCTATTGGGGGGAAAGGGGTGGGTTAATTGTAACCGGTGTAAAGGGGTTATGGACAACTGTAACAATCGGGTCAAGACTTGACCTAGGATTGTTATCCAACCTCAAAAAATGTTTTCCAAAGAAAGAATAAATGGGATCCACTACCTTATTTAGCTATTTGTATGGTGTTAACTCCCTTTATTCCATTATGCAAACACACCCAGTAGAGATATATTCATATAAATTTCTAATATTCTCTTAGATTGTAAAGAGCTTTGGTTTATGAACTTTTAGGTCCAAATATTACCAACAAAAAAAAAAGCCCAGAATGAAGAATTGGATTACGAGATTGGGTTGGACCGGTAGTCTATTGGCCCAATGCTTGATTTGACCTCCCCTGCCAATAACACCCGTTCCTTTTGTCTAACAGAAATAGGAAAGTGACTATTATGCTCTTGATCCAAAAATTCTCTACTTTTAGCCAATTTTGTTATATTCAATCATATCATGTCATGCAACAATAAAATACAAAATATAAATGAAAAAATCTTACTGAATTACTGAAATTAATTTTCAAAAGGAAACATAATATAATTTATTCTATTAATAAAATAAATTTTACACCAAAAGTCAAACCAAATCTAATCAATTTATAATTGAGTTAAATTTATCTTCAAGTTCAAATCAAATCTAATTAATTTTGTCCTTAAACCCATATAAAGTCTAATTGATTATGTTAATTAAATTATATTTATCTAAAATTCAAATTCAATATAATCAATTCAATTAATTAAGCTAAATTTACCTCAAAATTCAAACCAATTCCATTAATATATTTAATTTTGTACGCAAAATTCAAACTTTAATTTAGAGAGAAATAATATTAGGTGTTTGTTTGGAAACTAATAATATTAATAATATGAATATGATATGTTTGACAATAGGGTTAATTTGTCTACAATCTAAATAAGGGTAATGCTGACATTTATAAAAATCAGGTTGCTTACATAATCAAATTATAGACATCCCTCTAACGGCATATTAACAGTTGAGAGAATCTATCATAGACAACCATTATAGAAGGGAGGTCAATGTTATTTCTCATACAATAGGAGGTCTAGTTGTTATTTGACTAAATCTCAGGGAAAGTGAATGTAATTTACCAAAAACAATTGTGTTTTCCTTGTACTATATTTTCCTTAGGGTCCGTTTGGTTAGCAAGAAAAAGATGATGGAAAGTGAAAGAGGTAAAAAGTGAAGTGAAAGAAAATATATTTTCATGCATGTATTTGGTTAGCATGAAAAATTTCTAAGAAAAATTTAAAACATTCTCATTCAATTGTTTGAAAAAAATAAAAGTTATAAGAAAATGTTTCTAATTATCTAAATTATCCTTAAATATTTTAACTCGGTATAAAGAAGAAAAACATATTTTTTATTATTCAAATTTTAAAAAAATTGGCTCCAACCTAATTCAAGAACAAAGATCGACTCGAACCGTAATCTCTAGATCAAACTGTATGATTAGCCTACTTTGTACACATTTTTTTAAAACTAATAACTAATTGAATATGTTAAGAAAAATAAAGGTAAAATGAGAAGTTAAGTTATTGAAAACAAGTTTCTTACTTTTTCTTGTGTTTTTTGCAAGAAAAAAAAGTAAGTTAGATGTGAAAAAATTTAAATATGAGAGAAAATTATTTTTTCTATCATTTTCTAGTATTTTCTTGCTAAACAAACGAACCCTTAGACTTTTTTTGTTGCGACTAATTATCAACCAGTATTCATGACGAACATGACACAAAAACGAATGCCACTACGTGAATAATGTTTTCTTATTCTTTTTTTTTTGTGTGTGTGTGTGTGTTCAGGTAAAAACCTACTGTATCAATTCGGACGGGGCAAGTGTCATACAACACATGATCGACAATTTTCTACTATAGAATTCATCTACTTCAATTTTTGCACTTATTAGTATATTTCTCAGAGGCAAGCATGTACACATGCTTGATTGATTGTAATCTTTACACTTTTATCAACACAAATATGTGGAAGTTTCAAATGCAATTTAGAGATATGTTTTGTTGTCTACTTGGGAGAGATTAATGAGAAGACTTTAGCATGTGGACAATTGTATTGTATGTTATGGCAGTACTTAAAATGGTGATGGTCTCTGGTTGGTGGTTTATTTCTATGCATTATTGCATTTTCGCTTTGGTTTTAGATTAGTTCAATTGGACACGTGGGTTATATTGGTTTTGCAGTGGAACTATCGAAGGAATTCAATCACTACTAATTGTCATCATTGTTTATGCACGGTTCATGCTATATACAGTCGTCACGGCAAACCCGTGTTAAATATATAACACATGTGCAGCACTTACAATGTTCTTACTTATATTTTCTTTTTAAAATTGCTCTTAAAATTCTGAGAAATATGTGCAAGCTAAGGAGTATGGATCCTCTATTGTACAACAGAGGTGCTATTCTTCGTAACGACGTTGTTTTACATTAAAATGATATCTTTTTGAAGAACAACACTCTTTCTATTAAAAAACTAACAGCAAGGATCCGAATCCGCAAACTTAAGTGGGAAATTTTGGCCACACCTGCTGGTGGCATTGATAGGCCAACAGTGTACGAATATCAGGTGGTCCTTGGGCTTTTTTGTTAACAACACAGATGATATCACTCGTGCCTTGATTAACTTTCAGCATTATTATGAGAGAGAGAGAGAGAGAGAGAGAGCGAGAGAGAGAGTATTCCCAGCTCATGGAAAAGTTACTTAAAGAAGGAGATTTATAACTTTCTTGCAACTACAAGAACTTGGGTTTTAGTTATAAAACTGTTTGTCTAAATGTTAAAAAAAAAACCATCTATTTTTCTAGTTGTGAATTTTTGTGGCAGCAATTGTACTGTGGCTAAATGTGATGGCACTTTAAAGCAGTCACTAAAAGTTAAGCTCTTATTTTCCTCGAATTTTTAGCTGCCAATAAATGGCTATGTGAGAAAATATTCAACACGAATTACGAAGTAATATCATTCACATG